AAGACAAGAGGACTTAAAATACTTACTAATAAAGATCAAAGACTATAAATTGTACCTCAATGTAAAGAAAACAAAAATCTTCACAACTGGGCCAATAAATAACATTGTGATAGATGGAGACAAGAACTGGACAGCGAACCACAAGGTTGGTGGCTCAAACTCACCAGCTGCTCCTAGGAAACCCTATACAGAGTTGCTGAGTCAGAATCAGTTTGATGGAACTTAATAACAACAACAGTACATTTTGCTTGGGTTCACAATCAACAATCATGGAAGCAGCAGTCAAGAAATCATTAGATATATTGCACTGGGAAAATCTGCTGCAAAAGACCTCAACGTGTTCAAGAGCAAAGATCTCAGATTGTGAACTACGGAACAGACTCAAGCCACTGTATTTTCAATTGTCTCTTATGCATGTGAAAGTTGGACAATGAATAAGGAAAATCAATGCATTTAAATTATGGTGTTGAAGAAGAATACTGAAAGTGCCACAGACTGGCAGAAGAACAAACCAATCTGCCCTGGAAGAAGTACAGCCACAACGCTCCATAGAAGCCAGGCTGGCGAGACTTCGCTTCTCATATTTTGGACATGTTGTCTGCAGGGATCAATCCCTAGAGAAGAACAGCATGCTGTAATTTTCTTTTTCATGCTCTCATTGCCTGGCACTGGTATAGAGCTATGCAGCTTCAGAGACTGAATTTGGCAATATTCCTTCCTTGTCTGTGCTCTGACACAGTTACATTAATATTGGTGCGAGCTCTTCTCTAAATGCTTGATAGAATATTCTGTAGTGAAGCCATCTGGGCCAGGGCTCTTTTGCTGCTGCAGGGAGTTTTTTATTATTATTTCAATCACTTCTTTTGTTAACAGGCCTGTTCAGTTTTTCTACCTCACTTTGTGTTGATTTAGGTAGGTAGTGTATTTCTAAAAATTTATCCATGTCTCCTAGATTTTCAAATTTGTTGGAGCACAATTTTTCAGAGTATTCTCTTATTACATTTTTTATCTTAGTGAAGTCTATTGCAACGTCTACCCATCTCATTTCTTCTTTGGTTATTTGCTTTTTCTCCTGTCTATCCCCCCCCCCTTTTTTATCTTGTGATCAATTTGGCCAAGTAGTATATTTTATAGGAGTCCTGGTGTGATGCTGTGGGTTAATGCACCAGACTGCAAAGCTGTTTGAACTGCAAGGTCAGCGGTTCAAGCTCACCAGCTGCTCCTTGGAAACCCTATACGTGGGTCGGAATCAACTCCACAGGCACTTAACAACAATATTTTATAGATGATTTCAAAGAACTAAGTTCTGATCTAGTCTTAGAATATTATTTCCTTGCTTACTGGGACTGAGCTACTTTTGCTGTTTCGCTCCAGTTGTTGGGAGTTGTAAGGTTAATGTTTGATTTTGGCCTCCTTTTTGTTTCATTTTTGTGTGTGTGCATTTATTGGTACAGATTGTCCTATGAGCACTGCTTTTGCTGTGTCCCAAAGGCTTGGTATGATGTGTTTTCATTTTCATATGATGCGAGTACGTTTTTAATTTCCTCTTTGATTTCTTCTACGATTCAGTGGTTTTTAAAGAAGACAATATTCAGTTTCCACATATTTGCTTTTCGTTCTTGCTCTTTCCGTTATTGATTTCTACTTTTACAGTATTGTGAGCAGATAAAATGCTTTGTATTACTCACTGTTTGGGCTTCTATTGGGGCTTGCTTGCTTTGTGTCTTTTCTCATTTATCCACAAACAAATTGGTGTTGAGGGATGTGCTGTTTACTTGGATGACTTTGTTTTCCATTGGCTCTATTCTGCTCCTATGGCCTTCTACTGAGTTTTCTACTTCTGACATTTTATTCTCAATCTTTTGCATTTCGAGTAGCTGATTTTGTATGTTTCTAATTATCTATGGGATTTTTTTTTTTGTTTTTTAATTTTGTGTCGTTTTGTTCTTGTATTGTTATCCTGAATTCTTTTATTGCTTTGTCTCTGTTTTCTTGTTTTTGTCTGGGTTTTCCTTGCTCTCTTTCTTGATCTCTTAGAGAACCCTATATTCCTTCTCAGGTGAAGAGTGATGAACTTCTCAGGTAGTTGTTTTCTTCCTCTGAAAGGTTTTCTGTACTTTTCTTTTCATTTTGGTCATTTGCTGGAGCCATCTCATCTTGTTTCTTTATGTGATTTGAGGTTGTCTACTGTCTCTGAACCATTAAAGTGTTTTTATATTCATATTTATATTTACTTATTGCTTTTTTGCTGTGCCCTGATTTTTGGTTCTGTTTTGATGTGTCTGAATAAGGGGCACATGTGTACTACGATGGTCGCTAGTCAGCCCACATTGTCATCGGTTCAACAGGGCAGCAGCTGGGTGTGCTGAACACAAGTCTCTGTTTGCTGGTGGTACAGGCTGACTGAGGATCTAGCTGGCATTGCTGGTGAGGTGATATATCTGTTCGACCGGTCACCTGGGCATAGGTGTACAAGGTCTTCTTACTGGTTGCTGGGTTGAGGGCTGTGTGTGCGCACACTGCTGGTTGTTAGGTGGTCTGGGTGTCCAGGACCTCAGTCATCATGTGGGTGGTACAGAAACACACAGGACCAGGCAAGCAGGGCTGCACTGGAGATGTTGGAACGGGCACAAGTCTCCAGTTTCAGGGTGGGGGTATGTGTAGGTAGTGAAGCGGGGGAATGGCAGCAGTCCATAGGTTCCCACTGAGAGACTGGGTCCATTACAGCAGGACATGGGTGAGGGTGTGCTACCGGTCCTCAGGAGCTCAGCACAGGTGGCTGGAGGGAGTATCACGTGGCGCTAGTCCGTGGGTCCCAGGCATGGATGGTTGGCCATAGGAGTGAGTATCTCTAACGTGTAGGCTCCTGGCGCCATTGGTTAGGTAGAACAATGGGTACTGCCAGTGGGAGGGACCCCTGGTGCAGGAAGAACAGTATAGGGGCACAGGTGGCCATACAGAGAGAAGGTGGGTATGGATGAGGAGTGTGGGGAGCACTACAGACCAGCAAGCCTCCTGCAGGAGGGGCTGGGGGAGCGCACCCACGTCTGACAGAACTGCTTGGCTCCAGATGTGGGTGCAGTTTCTCCTGCTTATCTGCGCCAGGTGAGAGGTGCTTCAGTTGGGAAGGCTGCTTGCTTTATCTCAGTGTGGCCTCACTGTGCAGACTCAGCTGGCAGAGCGTGCCGGCAACCCCTAACCCTCCATGTTCATGTTCTGCTTCCACTCGGCATTCCCTTGGATGTTTCAGCTGTGCCTTTCAGCTTTCGGGTTCCATTGTTGTCATCTATATGCAATTCATTCAGTTTCTCAAGCCTTTGTTGTTGTAGTGAGGCATCTGACTACACCACCACCATCTTTAGACTCCTTTTCCACAATAAAATATTTAAAAATTAAAAATTTTTTAAAAAGAGAGAGAAGTGCACACTCTCAGTCAGAAAAAAATGACAGGGCTTGCCCAAGGTCCCATAGGTAGAGTCCCATAAGCCCCACCTGATCAAAACTACTCCCATCAAACCACATCTGCTTCTTAGTAAGACTGTAGCTTCTTTCTAGTTCCAGGAAGGACACATTTTTTTTTTCCTGTGTCTCTCTAAGAAGTCACCAGTATTTTCAATGCAGCAAAAAAAAACTGCAGAAACGGGGTCATTTTCCATCACGCTCACAAAATAAGATGATAAGGTAGGGTGTGTGCCATAGCTAACCAATTCTTAAATAACTTTAACTGGTCATATTTTAAACTGGGTGCCTGGTCCCCAAGAGGACAAGGTGCATAAGGTGCATATCCGTATGGGTCGGAACCGACTCGACGGCACTTAACAACAACAAAACACTGCAGTAGGGCAACCAACTTTGCAAGTCATCTGGAGACCCAACTACCGTATTTTCCCAGTAAGATGGCAGAAGTGTGAGTGAGTAGTCAACTGCACCATTGTGTACTGGACACATTGCACAGCCAAATACTTCCCCTTCTGATTCCAAACCACGTGGGCTAAATCAGTTCATGTACAAGATCAGTTTGAAAAGGCTGAATGGTATTCATGTTTCTTTCTATAGATATGCATACACACACATACACACACACATTTTTGTTGTTACGTACTTCCAACTCATTGTTGTTGTTAAGTGTCATCAAGTCGATTCTCACCCATAGCGACCCTGTATAGGGTTTCCAAGGAAGAGCTGGTGAGCTAGAACCACTGACCTTGCAGTTCAAATGACTTTGCAGTCTGATGTATTAGCCCACAGCGCCACACCACGACTCCTAACTCACAGTGACCCTATATAAAATTTCAAGGAGCAGCTGATGGGTTTGAACCACTGACCTTGTAGTTAGCAGTCCACTGCTTATCCTACAGTGTCACACCAGGACTCCACACCCTTACATATATACATAGCCATACAATTTTCACAATGTATTTTAGGCTTTTGTCTTTGCTATTGTAAATGCACACAGCAAAACCACCACCAATTCAAGTTTCTAGATGTTCATTTCAGTAACATTGGTTACATACCTCCAGTTCTATAACCATGTTTACCCTCCTTTTTAGAGTTGTTCTTCCCCCAAGAAGATGCAGTCACTGCCCACAAAGGTTTACGTAGCTGCATTTTTAAGAAGTTTCATACACAAACAAATTCAGTAGTACATTTGGTTATATTTCCAAAAAGGAGTAATGGTTTCAAGAAAAAAAAATTCAAACCCTTGATACACTCTGTCCCTGTTTCATGAGATCTGTATATGAAGGATGAATCATCTGCATAGTTGTTTACCAGGCTAAAGATATCCTCGTTTATAGAACAGGAGACAAAGCATCACTAAAATGCAATTGATTTCATTTTTGTAAAACTCCCTGCTTGAGAATATCAAATTAAATTGAGCCATGTTTCCAAAGGCAGAGGGAATGAAAGCAGGAAAAGCCCGCAGCTGGGTGAGTGTCTGCTGGGGAGGGAAGCGTCGCTAGGACACTGCCTGGGACTTCTGGCCCCAGATCGCCTCTTACCTGGCTGCATCTGCTCTGTGCTGCTCCGAAGCTTGCTGTAGCCATGGCTCAAGGGCACCCTCTGGTAATGAGGTGGAGAAGAAGGAGGGGAGGCGAGGGGTGACATCGTGGGAGACTGTGTTTCCTGCTGCAAAGAAGCAGAGCAGAGTTCAGCAGCGACATTAGAAGCTGGGCGGACTGAGAGGCACTTAGGAAGGCTGGACTCACTCCAACTGCTGGTGGCCCAGCAGACTGAACACTGGGCGGAGGGGCTTCTAAACAATGCCACGGGGGAGCTAAGTGCAGTGTCCAAGGAGATCAAAGTCTCCAAGAGACTCCACTTGGCTCAGTGACTAAACCAAGCCAGAAAGACACTTAGTGATTTCAATCTTATTTTCCTTTGGAAAATACAAGGCACTGCATCATCACATGAAATAATATACATTTTCTCTCAATCTGGATTTCTCAGTGAATAAATTAATTTTTTATTCATTAGTACAGATTCTTATTTCCTGGAGTTGCAGTTATCATTCCTCTCAGAAAATTAGGATTTTAATTTTATTTTACTATTTAACACAAAATATTCTTGGAGTATACTATACAAAAGTAAAAAGCTAACTTTTTTTTTTTTTATACTAAGAAATTGCAGAACAATTCATTATGAATAAATTGCTCCCACTAGCCTACTCCTAATTAAAACAATTGTTGTTGTTGTTGTTGTTGTTGTCATCAGGTGCCATCGAGTCGGTACCGACCCATAGCAACCTTATGCACAGCAGAACGAAACACTGCCCGATCCTGGGCCAACCTCACTACTGTTGCCATGCTTGAGTCCATCAATGCTGCCACTTGGTCAATCCATCTCGTTGGGGGTCTTCCTCTCTTTCTCTGTCCCTCCACCTTACCAAAAATGATCCCTCCTGACAATATGTCCGAAGGATGAGAGATGAAATTTGGCCATCTTGGCCTCCAAGGAGTACTCTGGCTGCACCTCTTCCAAAACAGATCTATTGGTTCTTTTGGCAGCCCATGGCCCTTTCAATATTCTCCTCCAACAAACAAGCTACAATTTGAACCCCAATTCTAACATGAACTTAACGTAGAACCCTGAGCAAGGTGAGCAACTTTACTCTGCTGCTTGGTTTCCTCCTGCTTTTTTTAGGGGGGTTTTGGTGTGTTTTTTCTGGTAGTGTAGTGGTGACACATTGGGCTGCTTAGTCTGAATACACCAGCCACTCCACAGGAGACAGATGAGACTGTCTGCTCCCGAAGAGATCTACAGCTCAGAAACTGAGCTGGAACCAACTCAATGGCAAACAGCAGTACCACCGCCACCAACAGATGGGGCACTTGGAGTACCCACCCAGCAAAGTAACAAGGAAACAGTACTTTTTAACAATACTGACACTATAAAGGAGGTCTGAGTCTCAAGAGAAATGTCCAGTCTAAGGTACTGACCAAATACCCTTCTTCAAGGGAAAAAAAAAAAGTCTTGCTTTAAAGCATGAGTTCATGCCCACAGATGGGATTGCCCAGCATAGGCCTGCCACTCTTCCAGCATGTCAGTCAGTTCTGGGCAGTGCATCCTAGCTCCTCTCCAAGTGCAAGAGGGCAAACATGCCAAAGAATATTCACTGATAATTTCTATACCCTTTTCCTTATCCCTGAAGAACTCACTTAAAATACATCAGAATGAGGAAAGCAAACACACATGAAATTGTTGAACAGATTTGCTACACCTCACACCAGTACTCAAAGGCTGTTACTGTCCGGTCAATTCTGCCTCATAGCGATCCTGCAGGGCAGATTAGACTGCTCCACTGGGTTTCCAAGGCTGTCACCTTTGAGGAAATGATGGTCACATCTTTCTCCCACAAAACAGCTGGTAGATTCAAACCACTGACATTTTGGTTAGCAGCTGAGCACTTCACCACTAAGCCACCACCATGGCTGCTCGCAGACATTTCCCTACCTGGAGATAAAGCAAGCCAGCAGCAATACCTCATCTATCCCACAAGATCAGGGTGAGCCGCAGGAATTGCTTTTCCAGGCAACTGCAATGGATCCTTTCATCTTCATTGCTATTTACAAATATTTTTACTCCAGTCTCCCTAAATCTGCCTTATAGCAGATACTATGCCATGGTATTTTCAATAACCTCACATGCATGTGAAAGTCGGACAGCGAATAAAGAAGACCATAGAAGAACTGATGTGTTTGAGTTGTGGTGTTGGAGGAGAATATTAAAAGTACCATGACTGCCAAAAAAAAAAAAATTAATCTGTGTTGGAAGAATGCTCCTTGGAAGCCTGGATGGCCACACTTTGCCTCTCCTACTTCAGACATATTATTAGGATGGACCAGTCCCTGGAGAAGGATATGATGTTTGGTAAAGTGGAGGGTCAAAGAAAAAGAGGAAGACCCCCAACCAGACGGATTGACACAGTGGCAGCATCAATGGGCTCAAATGTATCAACAGTTGTGAGGCTGGCAGTGTTTTGTTTTGTTGTACATAGGGTCGCTATGAATCAGTACTGACTTGATGGCACCTAACAACAACAATATGCTGAAGAATATGGACTCTCGGTGTGGCACTGTAGGATAATCACTGGACTGTGAACCACAAGGTCACTCGTTCAAACCCACCAGCTACTCCTCGGAAACCCTATACAGGGTCACTAGGAGTAGGAATTGTCTCAACGGCACTTAACAACAACATGCTAAATAAAACTGGACTTTCGTTATTAGACATCTAAACTGGGCTTGATGCTCTCAGGGTTTATTAGTGTGTAAATTGATTCACCTCTTCTTGATCAGCTGACTCCTCAGGCTTCTGTACTTCTGTCTGTACCAATTACCATCTGCTTCTTGCAATCAATGGTTTTAAAAGCCCACCGTCCCGTTTGGATTCCCAATCTGCTTTCCTAGTAAGGGGTCCCTGGCTTTAAAAGAAGTCTAGTACATGTAAGAACTCTTTCCTGCAGGATTTGTAGGGCCTTTAATGCACTAATGTATCCGAGGGTAAGTCAGAAAGTATTACTACAAAATCATAGAAGCCTGTCTTAGAAACAGCAAAATGTGACCCTATTGTTTCTCAACACGTCCTCTATCTAGGTCCTCATACTTCTGAAGGTGGTCATTTCCTCTCTCTAACCCTCCCCATGGTGTGGCACTTAAGGATCAGCACTAGACTTCAAACTACAAGGTCGGCAGTTCAAACCAGCCTTGGAAACCCTACAAAAGGTTGTTACATGTCGGAAACCACTCAACAGCACAACAACCCTTCCCTGAGGAGTCTTGGTGTGGTACTGTAGATAAGCACTGGACCTGCAAGGCAGGCAGTTCAAACTTACTCCTTGGAAACCCTACACAGGGTTGCTATGAGTCAGAACCAACTCAATGTCACTCAATGGCACTTAACAACAACAAACAACAACCATTCCCCACAGAATGCGGTGGTGTTCAATTTACACTGCAAGAAAATGGCAGTTTGAGCACGCCCAAGGGACTTGCGTCATGTTCCTTTTCAATATTCTTTGAATTGGGGGCACAAAAAGAAGTCTAAAGGGACAAGATCAGGGCTGGGGGAAGCTTCCCAATGAAATTCTCCTAGGACAGCCCTAGCTTCCCTTGAAGAATGAGCAGATGCATTGTCAGGATGAGGGGAAAAAAATGCCTCAGTGTAACCTTCCTGCCCTTTTTCTCACCAACACATAATTTTCCATTTTCTTAAAGCTTCTTCCTAATAAGCCCCAGGATCATTCTATGACCTTCAAGAAAGTCTACCAAGATGACCCCTTTGGAATTTAAACAAACAGTCACCATAGCCAGTTGAACTGACCTCACAGATCCCCTCAGAAGCCACTCTGATTGGATTTTTTTTTTTTTACTGAGACAACTTGTCTGCAACCATCCGCTGGTGGCAGAGACATGTCTAAATACGTTTTGTTTTGTTTTGTTTTTGGAAAAAACCCATCTAGGTATACACTGCAACCTTACAAGCAATACTTTTTGACTTGGGGGGCAGGGGGAAATGGCCTCATACTAGACTCTCCAAGACTGGGAATTCCATCGTTGTCCCAAGAATGGGATGTGACAGAGCACTCTCTAAGCATATTTATCCAGAGAAACTTTTTATCAAGACTTTTTATGGGAAGGGGATAGAAGTGGAGAAAGCCTATTAAAAACCCCTTTCAAAACCACTGACCTAGAGAAATCAAATAGCGTGTGAAATCAGATGCCCTTATTTTTCTATTAAAGTAGACATTACAGAGCCTCTGAGTGGTGTGGGATAATTCCTATGCAGCGGGCTTTGCATCGGCCTCTCTTCCTCACTCTGGCTTTCTTTCAAGTCTGTGACAGTGTCTCCAATAGACAAACGTGCCAGAAAGCAGTTAAGAGGCACTGCTATGTAAGGTTTCAAGACCCGAATCAAAAGTCACTCCAGAATAGATCGTTTACCTGTTTATCCCCATCGTCTGCTCTTTTGAAGGCGTTTTTATCCGTGGTTAAATATGGAATCTGAGCCTTGGTTCCATGCAGCTCAGCCGGGGTCCCAAGTCGTACTTCCCCATCGTTCTTTGACATCATAAAGCGAGGCAGGGGCGATTCTTTAGGACCAGAATCAAAGAAGCTCAAGTGAGAATCCTGCAAAAAGGCGAACTCAATGGCCAAAAGGTGAATCACTTCCAAAAATTCTAGAGTACTAAACATAGATTACATTTTGACTAAAACACAACGAGGGCTCCTATGATGGCATCATGATAGAAAGATGCTATGGTTTTACTGAGGTACTCCTACTCAGCATTCTGAAATGTTGCCAGATGCTTGCAGAACAAATTCAGGTTGGGGGCTGATCTGCTTCATCTTTCAACCCAGCACGCACCATGAAAAAAGATGTGACATTGTAAAAACTACAACAAAAAGTGGCAAATGGTAACAGATAAACCTTACATGCTGTTGTTGTTGTTGTGAAGTGCCGTTGAGTCGGTTCCGATCCATAGCAACCCTGCACTTATTATATGACAAGAAGTGTATTAAGTGTTTGCAAGTATTAACTCATTTAATCCTCACAATAGCTTATTAAGACTCCTTGTAATGATATAAAAATACACACAAAAGAGCTAGAAGTAACTTCCCCAATATTGTACAGCTTGTCTGTGGGAGCCGAGGTTTGAACCCAGAAATATGGCTCCACGCTCTCTTCTGTAGAAGGGCAGTTCCCAGGGCAAAGGTACTGAAGGCCAGTTTCTCAGATTCTGTAATTCATTTTGAAATGTTCACACTTCATCTTCACTGGTCTTTTTCATAATGAAGTAAGGAACACGGCATCAAGTTAGAGCAATTGACATAACTTTCAACCAGATTTGACTGTCGGAAACCGCGAGCCACACTCAAAAAAGATTACAAAGAGGAGAAGTGCACTGGTGTTCTGGTATGGGACTTCTCTTTCAGGTTTCCAACAAAATCATTCTGAAAATAGAAATGATGTACCAGTACGCTTCTGGTCCTCTGCAGAGCACATCACACCCAATCACACAGTACAAAGAACTGCACAAATGGGGCTAAGATTATGGATTACTCATAATCATCTGCCATCTACAGCATTGTTCAGGATAATACTCATCAGTGTGCCTCTGCACTTCCATCAGCTTGCTATTCCAAAAACACAGCTGCACTGCCCAAGATTGATACTGTGCGATAGCCAGAAAACATCTTAGCAACAGCAAGCAAGTTTCCCAGCTCCCCAGGCAAAGAAGGCCCTTGATTCTCTAATAGCCACCCCATGTTTATTTTTAGTTGCTAAGTCCACATTTGATTCAAAGAAGCAGGCAATATGACAAGTCCCTGCAGGATCCATCAGCCAAGGACCCGGGAGACATAAATAGAGGAAAATTAAACTGAGACTCTCCTCTAGAGAGATGACGGCCGCCATTTTTACTGCTTCCCAGCCTCAGGCAGCTCTCCAATACTCAAGGCAGGAATGGGCATCAAAAGAAAAGAGGCAAAAGACATTCTAGATCTTTAGGGAATTGCATCTATACTGCTCTCATGGTTCTGCTCTCAGAAAGATGTTGTTTCCATTCAGTGTGTGAGAATGACCTAAAAAGATGGACCGAGATCACATAAAATAGTTTTCATCCTGCTCCGCCTACTAGAGAAGAAATCCACTTCCAAACATTCCCTGAAAGGGAAAAGAATTCATTGTTTGGTATTTGCAAACTCAATGATGGGTGTGTTTCAGTAAAGGTCAATGGAGACCTCCACGGAGCAATGGAGTACCCATCCCATTGTTGCTGAGTTGACTCCAACTCATATTGACCCCAAAGGACAGAGCAGAACCGACCCATTCAGTTTCCAAGACTGACACAGCTTTCTCCCCCAGAGCAGCTGGTGGGTTTAAGCCAAAGACCTTTTGATTAGCAGCCAATGACTAACCACTGCGCCACCAGGGCAACTCATCACCAAGGCACCCACACATCCCTCAGGATATTGTCACTTCACAAATCCTCCAGAACTCTCCCCTATTCACCTGAGACTGAATCTCTTCTCCCCCAGGGAGCCAGCACACAGCAAAGACAAAATCCAGAAGGATGTCCTCGTACTTTCTTTGGCCATGTGGTTTTAAGCAACTCCCATGTAATAGAATTACAAACCTTCATAATAATATTCCTGCCACTGAAAGCTTTAATGAAAGGGGCCCGTTTTCCTTCAGCTGCTACAAGCTTTTAAAAATGGTAAGGGGAAACTAAGTTTGCAGTCGGAATGGTTTTTCCTGGTCATATATAAACCAACTTTGATAGTAAGACTTTATTAGAAAATTCATCAGTAAAGTGTCTACTACACAATGATGTGCATCAAATCATCACACGGTCTCTTAGTGGTAGCTGGTTAGAATCTTGTCTCCAGAAGAGACAAATTAAGAGTTCAGATTAAACGGTTTTAAGAGCCAAGGAGATAATGAGCATAGCCATCCAGAGCCACGACTTGCTTCACAAGGGCATCCAGGATTGTAGTCTGTGAACACAGAAACGCTTTGTATATTAAATATAAATGACGATTCTTTGTTTGCACAAAGAAAAGCATGCCTCTCCTTTTTTAAAACATGTGGCCTCTAGAAAGAAAGGAAACAGCTTTGTGTTTTCATGTTTCAGCGAGACATGGATACAAGAAATACTCCAATTTCCTCAATCCATTAGAATACAATAAACAGCCCAGAGTCAAGGATAAATGGCAACTTGAAACTGAACTTCAGGATCTAGACATTATGGAGCAGGGGGCTGGGCAGAGAGTTCACGGTGCTCTAAAATGGTAACTGATGCTCCCTCTCCGATAATGTAATATTGTCCACTAGAAATATTGTGTTTGTTGTTAAGTGCCCTCCAGTTGGTCCCAACACTGTATAAAGGTTTCCGAGGCTGTATATCTATGAGGGAGCAAAAAGCTTCCTCTTTCTCCTGAGATGCTGGAATCACTGACCTTAGGGTTTGCAGTCCAGTGCTTACCCTACAGAGCCACTGTGCTCTCCACCGGAAATACAATGCGAGCAAAATAATTTTAAATTTTAGAGTAGCCACATTTTAAAACAAAGGAAACAAGTGAAATTACTGTCAATAATAATTTTTCACCCAATGTTATCATTTCAATATGTGCTCAACATCAAGAATTCTTGATGAGGTATTTCACATCCTTCTTCCATACTAAGTCTTCAAAGTCCAGTGTGCATTTTGCCCTTGCTATCTATCTTACTTCAGACTCACCACCTTGTAAGCGCCAGTAGTCACATGTGCCTATTGCCTGCCTTCCTGGAAAAGCGTGGCTGGAGTTGATGGTTGCCATGAGGGAAGGTAGACAGCTATTGCCAGAAATCTGGATTTTATGAAGACGTATTATCATATTAAATGTCAGCACTTAACGAGTCCTGGTGTGGTGCTGTGGATTAATGCACTGAACTGCAAGGCTGGTTTGAACTGCAAGATTGGCAGTTCAAACTCTCCAGCCGCTTCTTGAAACCCTATACAGGGTCACTATGAGTCGGAACTGACTCGACAGCACTTGACAAACAGCAACAATCTTGTTTTATTATGTAATTGGTATTTTGTATAGAGGGATAATTTATAGAGATATAAGTGGATATTTTGAGGAGTTCTGACAAATGTATATACCTATGCAACCAACACCCAAATGAAGATATAACGTGTCCATCACACAGAATTTTCCATCATGTCCCTTTCCAGGAAATCTCCTTCCCTTGTCCCACCTGGCAACCATGGTTCAAATTTCTTTATGGAAAAGGAGACTATCTCTAGGCCTCTAACAACTTACGTCCTCTGTGACCACTGCAGGTCTCTGGGATAAGGCCCTTAAGTGGAAGTCTGAATGTTGAAGGCAGCTATTTGTATATAAATGCCAAGGTATATTTTTCTGGAAAGAAGAGCTTTTATTTATTGTCAAAAAAAGAATCCCATAACAACAACAACAAAAGCTGGAAACCACTGCTCAGCAGATGGTCTTCTTTGAGGAGGTCCAACGATAAAGCTGGCGTCCTGGTGTGGTGCTGTAGAATAAGCACTGGACTGCTAACCATAAGGTCAAATCCACCAGCCACTCCTTGGAAACCCTATGCAGGGTAGTGATGTGTCACAACTGACTCCTGAGCACTTAACAACAACAATAATAAAGCTAAGGAAGGACAATGGGTGTGAAGTAGGAGAGCAGAGCCCCTGGCAAACTAACAGCCTGCCAACTCTGGGTCCCAATAATCTCCCTAAAGATAGTCAAGCTGGGCAGGAGAGAAGGTACTTAAAAAGTGAGAGAGAGAGAGAGCGAGAAAAGGAAAAGAAGGCTGGGTTGAATGTTAGGCAACAAAGCTGAATTGACCTGGGTTGCATGAATGGTGGTAGTGGTGTGCCGTGGAGTCAGTTCTGACTCATAAGAGATCCTGTACAGGGTTTCTGAGGCTGTAAATCTTTATGGGAGCAGAAAGCCTCATCCTTCTCCCAAGGAGTACCTGATAGATTCAAACTGCTGACCTTAAGGTCCATAGCCCAATTCATAACCACTTCGCTACCAGAGAGTTCCTTGGGCTGAATGAATGGGAGCTCCCAATTAAGTATCTAAGATGGAAAATTTCATCTTATCAGGAACTACTCAGCACACACACTTAGTCACAGCCTTACTTCTGGCCTACTGACTCCACCCCTACTCTACCTTTTTCTGTGAATCTCCAAATTAGTTGTCACACCCAAGGCATTTCTTTCTCTCCTAGACGCAAGAGATGGAGAGAGTTTGTCAAATGGGCAGTGCATGGGGACCACTACTCTCAATTTAGGCAGATCATCTCTGCTTGTATTTGCTTTTGCTTAAATACCAGAATTCTTATTGGGAAAGAAATAAGCCTTGGAAATCCAGGTAAGTCCTCCACAGGAGTAAGTCTCATGGCTGTAAAATCCTTTCGCCTCTCTCTTACAGCCTCCAGAAACCTTGGAACAAAAAGTGAGGAAGCAGGATTGGCATTTCGACCAGTCCTAAAAGTTTGGATCCTGTGTTTACAGAAGGTTTCTCAACCTTGACACTACTGACAACATCTAAGACTGAATAATTTTTTTTG